TAACCTACACCATGACCTTAAGGCGAAGGATAGGTAAGAAATATGAATCACCAACTTAAAAAAAAGTTAAAAATTGGTGCCCAGATGCAAGTTTGGGTTAAAGGTGGGCCCCAGGTCTGAAAACATTGAAGATGACTGTTCTAGGTGATTGGGCTTTAGATGTTGGTCATGACCTACCAAAACAAAACTGAGACTCACAGGCGACTCAGACACTTTTGGGTCAGATCGGGTGTGTATCCCCAGAGGTATACATAGTGGGGCACTCCACTGTGGGTGTACTTTATGCTCCACAACAAAAGCACTATCCTGATCCAGAGTCTGCCAGCACCACAATGGAACCTTTCATTTACTGCATGCACATACAATCCGAAAGTCCAGTGGAAACTCCAAACTCTGGCATTGCAGGGTGTTGGACTGGATGACTCTCAGGGTCCCTCCCAAGTCTACAGTTCTATGACTGTACTCCAACATGCAAGAGAAGAAAAATACACATCCTGAGTTTTAAGAAGCTTGTGAGCCCTGGCTGGTGAGCTCTGCAACAAGTTTGGTTATTCAAATAAGCACAAACCACAGTTCTGTTCAGCTAACACCCCACATCTTTCGTCTTTGAGTGAAAAACAACCTCAGAAGATAGAAAAATTAGCAACATCAAAAGACACATATATCAAAGTCTTTCACAAAACCCCAGCCTGCTTTTAATTTTAAAAGAAACAAACCAAGGTACAGCTAAACCAGACTTTTAACTTGCTCCATATATAAAAGCAGTTGTGGGCTCAAACAATTAGTACTGCTTTTTTTGTTATTTTCAGTGGAATCCACAGACACAAGCTTATGATATTAAGAGATGACAGCTGAGCTTAGAGAAGGAAGAGGACGGTTGAATCACAGCATTGTGGGAATGAAAGAGTGTGCTCTGAAGAGAGGGGGTCAAATGGGCACAAAGAATCATAGATTCATAGAGTTGGAAGGGACCCCAAGGGTCATCTAGTCCAACCCCTGCAATGCAGGAAGCACCCAATCCAGGTTCTAAGAAAAACAAGTCACGGAGAACCAATACTGCCCTCAAAGCAAGAGCTTTCCTGGTTTTTAAAGAGAGTCACCTACAAAGCAACAAAAGATAGTGCCTTCTTCCAAACTTTTGCTCGATAGCTTTGTAGCTCAACACAAGAGAGCGAAAAGGGAGGAGGGAACGATTGTAAAACAGATGTGGAGGGAGCAGAGCTGTCTGCAAATAGCAGCTGTATAAACCCAAGAGATGCTTCTGTCAAGGGCAGCAGCGACAGAAGATGATGGTGGTGATGGGACAGCAGGAGGAAAGAGAAATCACAGTAGTGAAATGATAAGCAGCCAAATAGGGATGAAAAGGCAACATTTTCCATTCCACTCTGTATTTTTCCAGGCAGCACTGTTGCCTTTCCTACATCATTCAACTCGCTGTCCTCTGTGGCAAAATGTAATTAATTACGTAAATTACATTATTCCACCCTATTCATTTCAGTGCAAAAGAAACAATACGAATGGTGGGGAGGGCATATGCCAATTATGCATCATTCGTGGACTGATAATAACAACAGCGAATGCCATTAATATTTGCTGGATTTAATTCCATTCTGGACATATGACAAATGCATGAAAATCAGCAATTTCTGTTCCTATTGCCACTGGAATTCTCTGACATCCCTACAGCCAACAGGGAGCAATGCCTGATGGCTTCTGGTTAATATGAGTGCGATTCCTATGAACCATGTTCTTACTAGTGAATGCCTAACCCAATTTCAGCCTTCTGAAGAATTATTCAGTAATTCTTCAACAAATTTTTTTTTTTGGGGGGGGTGGAATAGCCAGTTAACATGTTTTATTTTATTATATTGTGTATTTTTTATTGTCATGTATGCAGCTTGGAGCAATTGGTTTGAGGGAAGCAATTTGTAAGTAAAATAGCTTGCCATTGCAACTCTCTCCACCCCACAATTATATTTCCATGCTAGTTATTGGGTTCCAGACTGCTTCCTAATACATCATTCTCTCAATTACTTACTCAAATTTAAAATTATTTCAAAATACATGTTTTCTCTTCTGATCCATATACGCAATTGATGTCTTTACTTCATTTATGAATCATTCTCATGAAATATCCCGAAGCAATATAACAATGAAAATATTGTAAAAGACCAATAAAACCATGATATGAAGAAAAATGCAGGAGTTGTGGTGGTGGTGGTTGTTCATATCTTGGTGCGAAACTAGTTTTATTTTGGAACAAAGAGTCAAACTAGTTAGTTTAATCCAGGTCAAGTTTGACCGAAGTTTTGTTTTGTTTTTTAACAGATTTTTATACCACCCTTCATTCAAAGATTGCGGGGCATCTTAAAATAATCAAAACAGCAAAATAATATCAAGCAGCAGCTGCTGCATTTTAAAGAGACTGTGGCTACAGTCCTATGCCACCTGGCAGCAAGCCTCACTGAACTCAATAAGACTTACTTTTGAGTAGACATGTATAGGATTGTACTGTTGTTGTTTTTAAAAAAATCACTACCACAAGCTAGAGAGAAGTTTAGGAGATATATATATTCTTGCACAACTCAACACCAAAGGATTTTTCAACTTTTAAGCCTCAGGTTTGGGTGTGGATGGGTGTTTCTGAATAAAGAGTTTGGTTCATATGGCAAACGTACCATAAATACAGTTCGTTCAGAGTCAGAACCATAAATCCAACATCATCCATAATATCAAAATTGCAGGGTATGAAGCTTTGACATTTGGGACATGTGTAATCCAAAGACATCCTGTACTTGAAATGTATGAAACATGATACGCCCAAAAACGGTTACAGAATACTTCCATACCAGCTAGGAAGCTGAAATTTGGAAAACACACACACACACACACACACTGCCCAAGAGTTACTACAAGAGTCTAAGAAGCTGGGGGGGTTTTCATGTAATAGTCAAAAACTGTGAAGGATAATGTTGACTCACAATAAAGGTCACAGATATGGAATGGCCATCACTAGCCTAGCACAGTACAAGACTATCCACATGCAAGAGCATTGGATGGTCGGAGGAGTGTTGCCCCATCACACATTTTAATCTTCTTTGGATTAAGGGAGCAGGTATTTCGCTCTGCCGCTCTCAGCTGAGGATAAGCAGCTGCAGTACAAGATGTCTGTGGAGAAGAGGCTGATGGAGCACAAGACGGGGAGAGGGGACACATGGATTGACTGTAGGGCCAAGCAGTGTGTAGGGAGGGGGGCTGCTTTCAGACAGATTCCAGGTGAAGACAGCACTTTGTTTGGCTCCTGCTCTTCCAAGGTATTTGGTGGCCCTTGGAAACATCTGAACAACTTATTTAACTAGCCACAATGACAACAGAGAGCATCCAACTTCAGAGGCAGTATACGTCTGAGTACTATATGCTGGGGAGAAACATAGAAGAAGGCTCTAGCTTTCATACTGTATTTCTGGGCTGCCCAGAGTCATCTACTGGGCCATTGTGGGAGATGGGATGCATCTAATCTAACTGCAAGAAGCATTCAGAAAACTGGATGCATGCATTCAGAACACAGACTATATTTACTAGGACCAGGTTTTCCAGCCTCAGGTCCCCATGTTTTGTTGGAATACAACTTTCATCATCCCTGATCACTGACTAATATGGGTTGTAGTTCAACAACTCCTGGGGACCCAAGTTTGAAGAATCATGTCATCATGAAATTAGATTAGCTTGAAATTGCAACTTGAAACTGGATTAGGTTAGAGCTAATATTTCTATGCTGTTTTTCAGCTTAAGTAACATTCAAAGCAGCTTATAATACAAAGCAAAAAAAAAAAATACAATAGGTAACAACAAAAATCCAATATAAATTTATACAATGATGCATTCAATATAATAAAATTACAAACAATAGTATAAGCCAGCTGCTGTTCTTTTGTCCCCAGTAGAATCTCCAGGACTCTAACCAAGATCCCCCAAAATACAACCATGAAGATGAGTAACAGCTAATAGACAAAGCGCGTCCCCATTTTCAACAACAAACAAAAAATAACAATAACATGATGACATGATATAACAGAACAGAACATGTTTTCTTCTGTGAGATGCACTCCACAAAAGCAAACTCAACTGGTTTAACACCAGGTATGCAAAGAGATGGACAGAAAGGGATACAGGAGAGGGAAGAGATCAGTAGTTTTATTTTGTAGTCATCCCAGAATAGAAAGAACCAACTTGGATGGCTCTAAAAGAATATTAGACATATTTTCGGAGGAGAAGGATATCAATGGCTACTAGCCATTTTTGGAGCAATATGCCTCTGAAAACTAGTTGCTGGGAGCCACAGATGGGGAGAATGGCTGTTGTGCTCAGGTCCTGTTTACGAGCTTCCCATAGGGGCATCTTGTTAGCCACTGTGAGAAAAGGGTGCTGGAACAGGTGGGCCTTTGGCCTGATCCACCCGCAGCGCTCTTCTTGGGCTCTTAAAAAGGAATATCTGCCCTCAAGTAGATGGGATTATTCTAGGTTGGAGCAGGGCACCTTTGGCTATAAACACACACTGGCATGTACAACTGCTGCTTTCTGTGACCTGTGGCATCTTCTCTCACAGCAGAAGCTGGCATTTTAACCAAGGCCTGCCTCACCTGAAAAAAATTAGTGTGAGCCTCGTTTTCCACTACAGTGAGACAAGTCACGTGTCACCAGACACTGCTGTAATAATCCCATCACATTTTTGCATTACTTAATATATTTGGATAAATGAGTCTGTTTTAATATGGACTAAAGGATTCCACCCGACCAAAAAAGCCCCCCAAAAACCTTTATTGGTTTTATGAATTTCTATATCCCTCAGAAAGCTTCATCCTAAATCCATGATATCCCACTCACTCCAACCCCATTTCAAAGGCTGAATTTTGCATCCTGAGCCCTAAATTAGCTGAAAGGGTATTTGAAATTACAACATTATACAGATGGTCCGTTGGGAGCAGGCAATACTTAATCTAGCAAATAAAGGCTGAGTGCCCCCTTCCACACACACACACACACACACACACACACACACACACACTGCTACACATACACACAACAGCACAATTTTCATTATGCCAGACCTTTCAAGTGAAAAAGAAAATGTGGTGACACCAGGTCTCCCTTTCAATATCTTTGGCACCTGCAAAGGTTTTTGGGCAGGCATATTGCTTCGTTTCCAGTCCATGCATGTGACATAACTTCCTGCTGAAATCCTGCAACATTGCATGCCACAAATGTTCAGGCTTCCTTTGTCCTGCTTTTGTTGTGTTGTAGCATTAAGAGTGATACTCCAAAGAGGAATAATGCAGTAACAGTGGGGAAGCATCTCAGAACAACTAACCAAGTAGAATGATGTGAGGACGGTCCAATATGAATCTGCCAGTAATGCACTATTATTGAGTCAGTAACATATTGCGGGTGGCGCTGTGGGTAAAACCTCAGTGCCTAGGACTTGCCGATCGTATAGTCGGCAGTTCGAATCCCCACGGCGGGGTGAGCTCCCGTCTTTCGGTCCCAGCTCCTGCCCACCTAGCAGTTCGAAAGCACCCCTAAGTGCAAGTAGATAAATAGGTACCGCTGTATAGTGGGAAGGTAAACGGCGTTTCCGTGTGCTGCGCTGGTGCTGGCTCGCCAGAGCAGCTTTGTTACCCTGGCCACGTGACCCGGAAGTGTCTCCGGACAGCGCTGGCCCCTGGCCTCTTAAGTGAGATGGGCGCACAACCCTAGAGTCGGACACGACTGGCCCGTACGGGCAGGGGTACCTTTACCTTTACCTTTAACATATTGCAGAACACAACCTCCCCACCACCACACAAAAAAGCACCAGTCTAGGGGGCATCTAGGTTCTGGCTCCCCAGCATGAATGCAGAAGGAGCAGGCATGCACTTCAAGAGGGCCATTTAGCCGCTGGGGGAGTTGAGCTCACGTCTCCTGGGAATGATCAGTGTTGGGCTTGTGGCTGAGCATGGGATGGGACACCCAGATGAGTCCCACTACAAAGACCCCCTAAGGGGCATAAAAGCAAAAATAAATAAAACCCCAGCACAATGTAACCTACAACCAGCCAATCAGATAAAGGATTACAATTCATCCTGTAAACAAAAGCTCACTGCCATAACAGAAAGAGACTTTAAATCTAGACAGGATCAAAACATCAAGCCCCAAACAAACAAGGCTGCATTCTGCACATCAAGAGCGGCAACTGCACACCACACAGTTTAACAGAAAGCTGTGGGGTTGCTTAAAAGTTTGCAGCCACTAAAAGCTGGCTCCAGCTCATTCTGAAAGACTTCCATTGGCAGCCAAACTTTTACCCAGCAAACGCAAGAGGCGAAACGCAGCAATTCTGCAGCGCCACTTAAAAGACGTTAAGAGACCCAGCTGGCGCAGCTCTTGTATAGGCTGCCAAGACCCGAGAACTATAAATCAGTTTTTTAAATGTTTCTTCTGCTGGACTTCAGCATATATTAAATACCATTATTTCTGGTCAGGAACATTTGAGAAATATATACAGAAGACCAGGAAGGTTAATATAAATTCTTGCTGAGCGATAGCAATACAAAGATGTGTGTGTGTGTGTTTCAGCAAGAATAAGAAAAAAATAAGTGTCTCAACACCTTAAATCAGAGGTGTTAAAACTTTCTGCCTCTAGGGAATCTTTTCCAAACTAACTTGCTTGCAGAGGAATCCTTGTGTATTTGTAGAAGTTTCTGGTGCGTATTACAAGGCTTTGTTTCCACGTGGGGTTCTGACCAGGCATGTATCAAAGTCACACGCCCAACATACCCATAGTGCTATAAATATCAAAGGAAGATGGGCAATGGTGAGCTAGTAGTTTTTCAGAGAATCATAGAATTGTAGAGTTGCAAGGGATCCCAAGGGTCATGAAGTCCAACCCCTGCAATTCAGGAAGACTGTCCACCATGACTGATCTGCTCTTTGGAGGATTCCCCAGCTAAGCTTCCAAGGAAATCCACAGCGTCCAGGAACCCTCCGTTTGAAAACTACTGCCTTAGAGGAAAATAATTATTGCGGGAACTTGCTTTTGTGGCAAGGAATGTGGTATGGGGGGGTTGAAAGAGATTCATATAGGTGTATGTTTGGCCTCCAGAACCTCTGAAAGCAACTATTTAATTATACACACAAGCCAAGATCTTCTACCCACATGACCCCACGGTCCCAGAACACACCATACCCAATGTCTGAAGGGGATAATCCCTGCAGATGTCTATAAGGAGGAGGATGAACCCCCCAAACCAAACCCCCCAAATTTGAGATTTGCAATTCAGGTGAATTATTTTAATTGATCCTAATTCCACATTAAAAGCACATTCTTTCACATTATTTCACATTCTGATATATATAAACAACTTCTATTAGCTTTGCATCCCAGTCTCCTCCAAAGTATGCAGGGCAGCACCCGCTAGCTTAAACCCTTAACTTTATCCCTTAAATAAAGATGTAGCCAACATGGGTGCTCCAAATGTTGTTGGGACTCAAGCTCCCATCAGCTCCAGCATGGAGACAATTTTCAGGGATGGTGGAAGTTGTAGCCCAACAACATCTGGAGGGCTACAGGATGTTCCACCCTGAGCTAAGACATTGGAGGAGGATGGGGGAAGCCGCAGGTTCAAATCCCCACTTAGCTATGAAGCTCCATAGGTAACCTTGGGCAAATCCCAATCTCTCAGCCCAACCGAAGGATGGGAAATCTCAGGCCTGGGGGCCAAATGTGACCTTCTGGGCCCGTCTATCTTGCCCCAGAACACTCCACAGGCCACACCCCTCGCTGGCTCTGATCCGTACCCCAAGTGTTTTTGCCTGGCTGGAATTAATCCTTGAATCTGGAACTGCCTCTTGCTTACCTGGATGGAAGATAGAGAGGGGGGCACAGAAACAAGCCCACTGTACAAAGCTGGAATTTACATTTGCTGCTCCACCCACTTTTGCTTCTGGCCCCGCTCACCACCAGCATGTGGCCCTTGGAAGGCAGCTTAGAAGGGAATGTGGCCCTTGAGTCTGTACTCCCTGGTCTAGCCTACCCCATAGCTGTTTGTGAAGACAGCATGCTATGGACCAGGGTGAGAGGAGACCAGCATGTGTGGCTCCTAGAGTTCTGTGGAGAATAGGCAGAATAAACATGGAATCAATCAATAAATCCATTCATCCACTTCAGAAACTTTTATTAACCCTTCCAATGCATTTAACAGTTGCCTTATCAAGCTGTCCCAACCTCTTGGGAGAGAGCAGGAAAGGAAAGCAAAACATTCAAGGCAATGATCTGCACCTTCAATGCTGCTTGCAGGGATGAGGAGGAGAGGGGTTTTATTTTTACTCCCTTCCTTTTTTTCTTGCAAGGTGTTTTGTTGTTTCTTAACCTTGTGCAAGAGATAGAAACTCAAGGAAGAGACAGCACCAATTAGAAAAGCAAGGAGGAAGGCGCATGCTCGACTCTCTGTCACATTGATTTATAGCAGCTATTCCGAAGGCAGACAAAAACACACAGATGCAAACAATTACACTATTTTTGTAGGCAACAAGTGAGGTGGGTGGTAACTGAGAAAATTCTGAAGGGGAAGAAGCAGCGGGGGGGGGGGAGCACCCTGTCACTATATTCCAGTGCATTTTTTTATTTTTATTTTTTACTTCTGTTCTTCATCCCCTCTTCCCCCTTAAGTAACCCTCATCACACAACAAACGCTGGCCACATCAGAGACTTTCCAAGGCCTGAAGGGATGCTTTGATTCCAGACTGCTCCGGGCATTAGCAAGGACGTAATTAGGGTAAAAAGTTCAACCACAGTTCCATGTCTACAGGGCTGCCAGAAATAAGATTTCCTCTCGTTCCCTGGTTTGTACTGTACCCTCCCCGCACACACCCCCCCACCACCAGCCCCGTCCTGAAGAAAGCCCATATTGAAAACACATTTATTTTGGTGGAATTTGTTCCTCTTCTAATTAACTTGATAGCGGTTACATTATTTAATAATTTTAAGTGGTTTTGTTTTCTTTAAAGAGTAGTCCTTGGGCCGGCTTGATTGCCCCTCTGATGGTGTTCAGGATTAGCAGAGTCTCCCCCGCTCCAGTGGCCAGGACAGCTGCCCTTTGTGAAAAAGCAACTGTACACGGCAGATGGGCTCATCTGGCCAATTGCTAAAGCTCTCAAGACGGATGTTTTGCTTTAGTCCTCCAATGCAGACGGAGGACAACGCAGCACAGGGCAGCAGAAGGATGGGATGGGACACGAGTTCAAACGTTATGCCTAATTTGCACACGTTGCAGTGGAAACTTCTGGAAGCTTCAGAAAATTCTGCCTTGCATCCAGGGTCCCATCATCTCAGGTCTTTAAAGTGCCGTTGTCATGGCTTTATTTTTAACCAATCAAAGTACATTTGTAATTCAGGCAGGCCTACCAGGAGAGATGCTCACATCTCTATTGTCTTGCCCCAGCCTCACAACTGGGAACTACTTGACACTGGAGCCTGTAGGACACAGCAAGGCAAATGAGAGAGGCAGGACAGCTCTTGTGTTATTTAAAAGTTATAAACGACTAACTGTCAGAAGCTGGTGGATGTAGAACCAGGAAAAGGGTTACATCTGCGTTCCATGCAGAAGGTCCCAGGTTCAAAGACATGAGGCTGGGAATGAAATCCTGGAGAGCTGCTGCCAGTCTGAGTTCACTGACCCTTTGATGAGCTGATAAAGTTGTCATCGAACCCGTTCAATGAAGCCAAGTCAAGAAATAGCAACACAGCTAATCAACACTTATTAATCATTGTCATTAAACCATAAAATGTAATAAAAAATGCCCACTTAGTCCCACATCCTGTTCTCACATTGTACTGTGGAATCACCTTATGAAGTACAGTAAGCCCTCAACTTACGCAGGGTATTTCATCCCAGAGATCGGGAGTAAAGCCAAAATCGCGTAGAGTCAAAACACATTGGGTTCAATGGCAGGTGGGATTGCCAGAGTCTTTTTTCCTAGATGCTCACCTCCTTTCCGCCCCCTTTTCAATCTTTTATCGATTTTTTCCCCAAGAGTGTAAAACTGAATGTGCACAAGTTAAATGTGTATAAGTTGTGGGCTTGCTGTACAGAGGTCCCACACTGGAAAGAGAGGCGCACTCTGTACAT